CTTTGAGAGAAAGAATTAACGTTCATCGTTTCGACATCTCCCATCATCTGGATAAACCTATTGGGAACCATTTCAACTCTCCCAACCATTCCCTCGCAGATATGAAGGTGGCGCCCATTGAAAAGGTCATCGCAGAAGAAGACACCAACCCTAAAAGTTCAAGACTATACAGGGAGAGCTTTTGGATGAACCAACTAAAAACTATTTCGCCCTGTGGACTAAATATACAGTTTGATTCTCAAATAATCCCATTTGTTGCTCCATTCAATAACATTTCTTGCCAAGCATCCCGAATTATCAAAAGATACTACACAGAGTTACAAAATAAATTTCACACTATTTTTTACAAAAAATTAGTCATAGCTTATTCGAAAAATAAAAATCTACTGGATATAGTTGTTCGTGGTCGACTTGACCCCACCGATGATGTAGAGTGATCTAATAGAATTAAATATTCTCATTTTCATTGTCTTTGTACTTGATAGTATATAATTGTCTAAAACAATTTACTTTCTATACCTGCAGCCATTAATCGCTTTTCTTCATTATTCCAGAAAATTTGAAGCAGTCAATGTAGATTATAAGTATTATGAATTTCTTTATTAGGTCCAAGAAGATTTATAGGATAACCGTTATGATCATCTTTGATTTAGTTCATTGCATATTAGCATCACAATTATTGTAAACATAACTTTAACCCTGCGCCAGTGCCTTATATTGAATAGTAACTGGTTACTCTTCAATCACCCTAATCACTAACGACCTTGCTATACATAATTTATTTTTTCATATGTCAATTATTGTTTTCATTTCGAGGCTGAAAATAGAAAGAATTTCAATGTATTTATTCAGATTCAGTATGAATTTTCGTTGTTTAGGTCACTGCACTTGATTAATCATTGTCAGGACAAAAACCATCTGACATGTCCAGAAATGTCAAACACGGAATCAATTGGGATAAATCAATGTTTAACTATTTGATAATAGAGGCTAAACGCTCCACGTTATGTAATATTATTGAAAACTATTTGAGTTTACTCTATTTAGATTCGACTAATCGCTTGACAGATGACAGATAGATCAAGCTAAACTTTGTCTCTTTAAACATCCAAATCAAGTAGCGACCAATTTTCACATCATTCATCCCGACTCAGTCTATTTTACCTGGTTTGTATGAAGGAGGCTAATCCTAGTCATTAATCCCTTATTAAATAATTATTACCTTTTCACAGCCCCACATGTACTGGCCCTTTAATTGTCTCGCTCGGATCTGGTCAATTGGTCAAGTGTCGTACTTGATGTAGCAAACATAAAAAGATCGCAGTAATTGCGCAATGGTGGGAGGTTGTAGCTCGTAAACAACAACGATGCGGCGACGTCGGGGTTCTACGGTTACAAATTAACGACCTCGCTAATGAGTAAAACTGTGAATTTGAAAGAAACAGAAAGGACAAATTACAGTTAAAGGAATGCAGGACATATGAATGAAGGGATTTTGTAATTACCTCAGACAAAATTATCAAAAGAGCAGTTATCTAATAAAAATCGTGGGAAATGGTCGCAATTTTCGACAGGTTGCGTATAGACATTATAGACAAAATATAACTTCATGAAATCCAAGCCCACTCATTGAACATATTTTTACCTATAAAAAAAAAAGAATCCAAGGAAAGGTCGGAAACGGCGCGGAATTAAACTGCAAAAAATAATTGATCTTTCTGAAATAGGCTAGTAGCAGCTTACATGGTTGATTAAGGATTGGAAATACCCGGGCATAACTTTCATATATCTAAGCTGTCGCCTATGCTTTCGTAATTTCAAGGATACATTGATTTTTAGTCCACTTTCATCAAATATGTCTGAAAGCAATGCAGGGCTTTGCAAGAGACACGAAGTACGCCAAGTAAGTTTCATGCCCACGTTCTATCATATTTCACAAGTTGAATTAATAAAATCTAGAATTGATGTAGGTATAAAGAATTGTATGCCTAATGAAAAGTAAACACCTCGAGACCAGGTGCTAATTATCACTTACCAATCTTAACTCTTTATCTTTCATTTTCTATAGATGAAAGAGATGATTATAATTAACTTCCATCACAGTATCAAAGGGAGGTAATTTACTTAATACATAGATCAAGGGACATAATCACATATTTAATTCAGTTCAAGGAAAAATAATTGTTATAAAAGATTACTCAAAAGCATCTTAATAAAAACAATAAAGGACTTATTGAAGGGGATTAGTAGGTATATTTTAAGATTAGAGAGGATTAAGAGGGTCGAGAGGGTATTGAATGAAGGGGTAATTGGATCTTCATTAAAAGACAAACAGAATTTTACTTTAGCAGTTCTTAAGATATATAATAGTTGTACGAAAAAAGATGGCAATTAAGATATCAATGTTAAGCCATGAAGAAATTCATCTTATACCTTGACTGCAATCAAAAAAAGTGTTAGCAGACTTTCCGCCGAGGTCTTTGATTGTCTGTATTCGTAAGCATATATACACTCCTGTCAAATTGCTGCATTTAGAAACTTATTTGAGACAAAAAAAGTTGACTATCAACTTTTGAAAGGTCGATTTTCTGTGAATGTTTTATAATCAGCATATAAAAAAGTGATGTTATATTGTAATCGTTTAAGGTAAATTTGTCGGAGTATTACCCCCCTCTCTCACAATAACTCGGTATAGCAAATACATACTAGTTATTTCAATGAGTAAGGGCACAGGTAAAACAGAAACCAGATCAGGGGTTTCCTCTCATCTCGACCATTTATAGGTCAGTATCAAATTCCCCAGTAAAGGAAGGCGATGTTTACTTTTCATGGTTCAAGTCATGTACTGGATTAAAACTAGTTCAATAGACAATGCTGACCACGTGGTACTAATACAACAGGTGGAAATTCGAACTCACAGACACCAAATTTTAATTAAATGCTTCATTCATTTCATTTCCTTTGTGACCCCAGGGCTAATCTTTCACCCTACTATTTCTTTAATTCCTTTCTACAGCTTATAGAAAGGACAATGCGACAAAAGACAACCCTGTAGCAATCCTATTTGTTCAGGATTATTAGGTGTTAATAAGTAGTTCTCCCGCCTCAAGGGACTAACAATATGGTCATGCTCTATAGGTATATGAATGCATGTAATATAAGACGAATTGAACATATACAAACCATGCATACGGTGATCGAGGGGACTTTGTGCTGAGAAAACAGCAAATATCTTACAAAGCATGTAAGGTGATGTCTCAGAACTAATTCCATTTTTACCTGACCCATATCAATTTCTTAATTTACATGAAAAACTGGACAAAATCCTTTTTACCCAAACAATTCAATTCATATTATTTTTAAATATGAAAATCCATCGTAAAGCTCTTGAGGTATGATACTTATACAAATTAATAATTAATAACTATCCATTTTTTATTTGAATTCTCGATTGTCACAAACCCTCCATAAGATTAGAAAGGTAGCCTATATAAGGCATAAACATCATTTTCATTTGATAATGAAAGGAGGTCTATATGATTAATGTCAAATGATACATTATCAGATGTCAGGAACAACGGCTCATATTATAAAATTAGCACAATTTTAGAACAAACACAACTTGAAGCTTTCAGATCACAAACTACTCAGATAAAGAAAAAAAAAACTGCACGTTGTTTTAAATCTGCACCGATTAACATGCATACAGCATAATTAAAAGAGAACCAAACATCGACAAGGTGTCCATATTTTAACGCTTTTAGACGAATTAAACCAGAAACAACCCAACACACCCCGAAAGTTTTAGGACTAGCTTTAATCTCGAGGTCAGAAAGTACGGGTTAATGAAATCAAGACGTTTTGATACCTTTATACTGTTGAACTAATGGACTTGTTGACTTACACCCTACAACATTTGGTAGTGTTTTGTTCAGGAGAACTTGGTTCCCCGGTATAACCAGAGTCTGACAGTTCTCTCTGGAAGTTTTGTTTTGTTATATTATACTCGTAGTTTAAATAATAATTTGTTATATAAATATAATGTGATTAAGTTCTGTACAACACAACATTACACAACAGTAGCCTAGGTCTAATAACCATTTGCTCACTGTGAGATAAGGCTACATGTATGGAGTTTTCAAAAATTTTTGGACAATTATAATTTTACCGTTCTATTATTCAGTGAGCCTATATTCTCCGACATATAAGATTTCAGGGAAAAGTTCAGAGAAAATCGCAAAATGTAGAGGGAATAGGTGTAATAGTGGGGATTTATAGAAGAAGGGAGGTAATATTGAGGGTTTATAAGAGGAGGGCGGTAATAGTGAGGATTTATAGGAGGAAGGGAGGTATAGTAAGGATTTATAAGGGAGAAGGGTGTGTAGGCTAATGCAATGGATCAAAAATCCTGAAAGGGGTAATAGAGAGAAAAAGGGTGAAAACCACTGGACCTGCTATATAAATTGACCTTTGCCAAACAAATATTATTTAGATGCATTTAATGATTTAATGGATTGCCTAACCGAAAAACATAGTGGCATTGGGTGGGGCATCGAGAATTATGGAAGAAGAAATAAGCCCGAGGTACCGAAATCCATAAGTAAGAAGTATGGTCTTTGTATGGACGTTGTTTCTTATTGCACATTTCTGTTCGTAGAGTGCAGATAAGTGTGGGGTACTATAAAATTTATCAAGATACAGAGTAGGCCTACATCACTGTCATTAAGTCTTTATTATCTCTATGACAGAGTAATGGAAGGGAGGTAACTGCAACCTTTACTTTACGGACTACATTTAATATTTATTACCTGTTAAGATTTAGACAGTTCAGTAGATTTTTCTCTACTGCATACTGCTCTAGTCTCATCATTACATTAGATTAAAGAGAAGTAAGACGTAAAACTGATTTCATTTCACTTCTTGTTTAGGCAGAAGATAGAATATTGAATATTTGTAGTCTGACATCAAATGTGAAGGGTAGTTACTTCCCTTCGTTTAATGGCTGACGCCAGTGAAATGATTAATTGCTGAAGGAGAAAAACTAATCAAGTAAGAGACTAATAGACAGAATCAATAATCTAAAACGTGAGTAGGAGAACAGATGGCTTTATTTACATTTTCTAGTAACAACCGTGCTTTGTCAGGTCATAGTGTCTTGTAGGCCTACCAATCCTTCCTTCCCTAACATGCTGACAATGATATCTGTAGTAAATCTTTTACCGATATAGATGGAGTTTTACGTCCTACATTTTGTGCTCCTGGGAAGGTGTTATCCCGTAGATCATTGTTGTTTAAGATCATATGTCTAATTTACTGTGTTATTTTTTTATAAGGAATTTCCTACCATTTTGACATTTAAAACTGCATAATTTAGAAAGTTGACATGGACCATGCAAGGACCAAGTTGGCAACATTTTCTCATAGACAAATGAATGTGAACTTGTTTTTATTAAGTATAGTTTTTACTGGCTTTCAAACAAAATGTTTTTTTTTATCTATAAATTTTAAATATAACAAAAAAAAAATAAATATCTAAAAAAAAAAAAAACTCAGTCTTTAATATCATGAAAAAAAAAACCCATCTGTTTCAAACATTAAGGCAAAAGCTAGAATGGTATAGATGATTTTATCAGGACAAAAATTTGAAGATATATCATGATAACTACCATATAATGCAATATGGCGATATTATTAATAATATAAATTCCTATAGCAGTATATATATCTTTATACCAAGTTACAAGTCTTAAGTCTAACAACCTCTCTTTTAAATAAGCTATTTTTATTGAAGAGTGGCAGATGCTTCATGAATTTATTTTACGCCCATCAGTTTTAGTGTGATGCAATAAGTAGGAATGATAATGTAAATATAAATGTTTTTTAATCTGTAGAATAATATATCCTACTGTTCTAGTTAAATAACTTTATCAGTATATCAGTCATACTGTATATTTAACATCTAGTATACCGGGAGATATTCAGTAAGTATTCCATATCATGACTTGCCTTAGATTAGGTAAGCTTTTTTAGGTGCAGACATCTTATTGGTGTTAAAATTTGTTGTAAGGTTTTGTCGCATCAAAACTGATGTAGTTAGGCCTTAATGTTGATTTTGTTATTCTGTTATTGAGATCTGTTGTATAAAGTTTTATCAACTTAAAAATGCCATTGTAAGGAAAAAAAGGAAGCTGCTCTCATGTACCTAGACCTTTTAATGTCTGATTATTGATCTAATCTGATTGGTATTCTACTCGGTTTCTTTATCAATTAATACTGCTAATATCATATATCACTTCTGTAGAACTTTGTGGTATCCTGACTAATACATTACCCTTGAACATTATCTTACTGGTATTTATTCCTTATCCTGACTAGTACTGTACTTGTACTGTGTTGATATATCCATTCTAAATAGCTACTTATATTTTATAAGGTAAGAGGACTCTCTCACTTGAAGGTTAGGAAATTTTCACTTGAATGCAATGTCTCTAACAGACATATCTTTTGAATCAATGGGCAATAAAACATTCTCATTTGAAGTATTGTCTATCTAGAAGTTTTTTTCCCTCTGTAAAAGGGTATAGATAATCTAGGAAAGATCAATGCCAAGAGGTATGTCCAAGGACCAGCTGGTAGAAAATAGCCTTAATTGTAAATCTAAGTTGTTATCCTTGTAAAATATAGTTGTTTCTTTACAGATATAACTTGGTTTCAACTTTTTGAACTAAAATTGATATGTCCTTATTCAGACAAATTATCCTTATTGGTAATGTAATGTATGAAATAAACAGATTTATATTTTACTTTGTTACCAACTTACATTCTTAAACAACCTGTATTTGACCAAACCTCAACACCTTAAATCATTCAATAGGATTATTAGTCCTATTTACATCAGAGTAAACAGATTTACTTTCAGGTCTTCAATTAAATTGTTACACAGTCTTGATGCCACTTTTGATATCTTATCAAATTTCCATGCGACTTATAACTAATTAGATATCAGAAGATCACAAACGATCAAACAAGCAAGTTGGATTACACATAATAATTTGTGGTTCTATATTGTATTTGTGTACTTTTAATCAGTGTTATAATTAATAAAGTCTTTTGGAGATTTAATAATTCATAATTCTTTGAATGTTCATATATTTGAAATATGATGATAGAATATGGATCCAAAGAAAATCAGTTGTAATCCCTAGTTATCTGTTGCTATCATTAGCAATCAGTTGTAATCACTATTAATAAATGTTCCTCTTAAAAATAAGTTGGAAACCACTAGTTATAAGTTGTAATTTAATTTTGATCAGCTGTAATCGCTAGTAATCAGCTGTAATTGCTAGTAATCAGTTGTTATCGCTAGTAATCAGTTGTAATCACTAGTAATCAGTTGTTATTTTTAGAAATCAGTTGTAATCACCAGTAATTAGTAATCACTAGCAAATCAGTTGTTATCACTAGTAAACAAATGTAATCACTAATAATAGATGTCATCACTAGAAATCAGTTGTTATCACTAGAAAACAAATGTAAGTACTAGGAATCAGTTGTTATCACCAGAAATCAGTTGTTATCACTAGTAAACAAGTGTAATCACTAATAAACAAATATCATCACTAGAATTCAGTTGTTATCACTAGAAAACAAATGTAAGAACTAGGAATCAGTTGCAATCACCAGAAATCAGTTGTTAACACTAATAAACAAATGTAAACACTATTCAGTTGTTATCACTAGAAAACAAATGTAAGTACTAGGAATCACATGTAGTCACCAAAAATCAGTTGTTATCACTAGTAAACAAATGTAAGTACTAGGAATCAGTTGTAATCACCAGATATCAGTTGTTATCACTAGTAAACAATGTAAGTACTATGAATCGGCTGTAATCACTAGAATTCAGTTTTATCACCAGTAAACAAATGTAATCAATACAATTCAGTTGTTATTCAGTAAATCTGGTGTAATCACTAGTAATCAGTTGTTAACACAGAAAATCAGTTGTAATCCCTAGTTATCTGTTGCTATCATTAGCAATCAGTTGTAATCACTATTAATAAATGTTTCTCTTAAAAATCAGTTGGAAACCACTAGTTATAAGTTTTAATTTAATTTTAATCAGCTGTAATTGCCAGTAATCAGCTGTAATTGCTAGTAATCAGTTGTTATCCCTATTCATCAGTTGTTATCACTAGTAATCAGTTGTTATCCCTATTAATCAGTTGAAATCACTAGTAATCAGTTGTTATCACTAGTAATCAGTTGTTATCTCTAGAAATCAGTTGTAATCATTAGCAAATCAGTTGTAATCACTAGCAAATCAGTTGTAATCACTAGCAAATCAGTTGTAATTATCACTAGTAAACAAATGTAAGTACTTAGTAAGTAATTAATAATCACTAGTAAGCAGTTATAGGTAATTATAATCACTAGCAAATCAGTTGTAATCACTAGCAAATCAGTTGTAATCACTAATAATAGATGTCATTACTAGAAATCAGTTGTTATCACTAGTAAAAAAATGTAATCACTAGCATTCAGTTGTTATCACTAAAAAACAAATGTAAGTACTAGGAATCAGTTGTAATCACCAGAAATCAGTTGTTAACACTAATAAACAAATGTAATCACTAGAATTCAGTTGTTAACACTAAAAAACAAATGTAAGTACTAGGAATCAGTTGTTATCACCAGAAGTCAGTTGTTATCACTAGTAAACAAATGTAAGTACTAGGAATCACATGTAGTCACCAAAAATCAGTTGTTATCACTAGTAAACAAATGTCAGTACTAGGAATCAGATGTAATCACCAGAAATCAGTTGTTATCACTAGTAAACAATGTAAGTACTAGGAATCAGTTGTAATCACTAGAATTCAGTTGTTAACACTAGTAAACAAGTGTAAGTACTAGGAATCAGTTGTAATGACAGGAATTCAGTTGTTATCACTAGTAAACAAATGTAATCACTACAATTCAGTTGTTATTCAGTAAATCTGATGTAAGCCCTAGGAATCAGTTGTTCGCTGGAAATCAGTTATAACTAGAAAGCAGTTGTATTAACTAGTAACCAGTTCTTTTCACTAGTAAATCAGTTGTAATCACTAGTAAATCATTGTTATCACTAGTAAACAGATGTAGGTACTAGTAAATCAGTTGTAATCATTAGTAATCAGTTGGAAACCAATAGTATTCAGTGGACAATTTAACTGTGATTTGCAAGTTATCCTTTTATTACTTATGTTCTTTGCAGGCAGTGTGAATCTGAATTTGTAAAATGTCTGGCAGTGGAGAAGGAAATAAACTATGGGGTGGAAGATTTACAGGGAAAACAGACCCCATCATGGAAGAATTTAATGCATCTATCAGTTATGATAAGAAAATGTGGAAAGCTGATATTAGGGGAAGCCAGGCCTATGTGAAAGGTAAGTGAAAGTGTGCACAATGTTTTACATTTGAAAAACATAATTTATATCCTTTTTTTGTAGCTAGAATATGCCACAAGGTGTAAATTATTTTAATTAGAATTATTTTGGTTGTATATTTTGAATCGAAGTATGTATGATTAGAAGAGCCTTGTAAATGAGGGTGTTTTTTGTTGCTTGTCACATAATATCAACTATCATAATACTATTTGTCAGTGATTTTGTAGCTATAGAGAAAGTGGGCCTTGTAACAAGTGAAGAAAGGGAGGCTATTTATAATGGACTGGGAAAAATAGAGAAAGAATGGGAGAACAATGAGTTTATTATCAAAGCTGGTGATGAAGATATCCATACAGGTAAAATTATAGAAATAAAAAACAAGCCTTAAACATGTTGTAACTCAGAGTTTTACGGTGTTCAATCTTCAGACAAATGATCTATTTCAGCCCCTGTCCTCACTGAGGTTTGACAAGTTTTACTAGTTCTGCACTTTGAGACAAATTTGGATTCTAAAATTATTAATAACTAAAATCATTGAAAAATTACCAGAATCACAATTTCACTTTACCATGTTCTATATTTTTCAGCCAATGAAAGAAGATTAAAGGAACTGATAGGAAGTGCCAGTGGTAAATTACATACAGGACGCAGCAGAAACGACCAGGTTGCCACAGATATGAGATTGTGGCTAAAAGATTCCCTAAAAATTTTAACAGGTTTGGTGTCTGATTTCATGAAAGTTATTTTAAAACGTGCTGCTGTAGAAATAGACGTTCTGATGCCTGGATATACACATCTTCAAAGAGCTCAACCAATCAGATGGAGCCATTGGTTGCTAAGTTATGCCTGGATGTTGCAGCGAGATCTAGAGAGGTATGATGAGCTAGCGAAACGTACAGCTGTTCTTCCTCTTGGAAGTGGAGCACTGGCTGGTAATCCTTTCGGAGTGGATCGTGAATTTCTTGCTAAAGAGCTTGATATGTTGAACGTTTCTGGTAACAGTCTAGATGCTGTTAGTGATAGAGATTTTATTGTGGAGTTCCTATTCGTGTCTTCTTTGCTCAGCACTCATTTGAGTCGCTGGGCTGAAGATCTGATTCTTTATTGCACCAAGGAATTCAATTTTGTGGCACTGTCTGATGCTTACAGCACAGGAAGTAGCTTGATGCCACAGAAGAAGAATGCAGACAGTTTAGAATTGATTCGTGGAAAGTCTGGAAGAATGTTTGGAAACTGCTCTGGATTTATGATGACCTTAAAAGGAGTTCCAAGTACCTATAATAAAGATTTTCAAGAGGACAAAACAGCCATGTTTGATACCTATGAAACCTTATCAGGAATACTTAAGGTAGCAACAGGAGTACTCTCAACTCTAACAATTCACCCTGAAGCGATGAGAGCTGCTCTGAGCCCTGACATGCTGGCCACAGATTTGGCATATTATTTGGTAAGGAAGGGAGTTCCTTTCAGAGAAGCTCATGGTCTAGCTGGAGGATGTGTTGCTCTAGCAGAGAAGAAGGGATGTGCAATGTCAGATTTGACTGTTGATGATTTTAAATCTATCCATGCCCTGTTTGATTCAGATGTAACCCAAGTTTGGAACTATGAGAACTCTGTAAACCAGTACAATGCTATTGGAGGGACAGGCAAACAAAGCGTTGTACAACAGATAGAGAAGTTGGAGAAATGGATCTCAAACAAAGCCTAACTTAAAATTGTAATTCTCCTCTTTCTTGCTGCTTCTTGCTTAAGCAGCTTTAGTCGTTAGTTTGACTTAATAGGGTCAAACGGCCAATAAAGGGACCTTTACGATTTTAACTATGTGCCATGCAGGATTTAAATAGAAATTAATTGATCTGCCTTGTCATGATTTTATGGATAACATTTCTTTTTGAGTTGGTATTTTAAGGATGAAACTCTCCATTAGCCTCTACTCATAACAAAACACAAGACAATATTATGGAATATACCACACTTTTTTGATAATGTTTGGCACATAACGTACTCCTAAATGTATTTCCCACTAACTCTTTGCATTTATATTGATGAGATCTTGGCCAAGTTCGAATTTTTCAGACGATTTTATTAGGGTGAGCTTATTTTGCTAGGCTTAAACTTTATTCTTGTTTATGTTTTTGGTTAAATGGATTTTTAAATTCATATATTTCCAACTGTTTGCTCAAATTATTTCATGCATTAATGCCAAAATCTTATTATAATGTAAACTGCTAAATTTTCTTGTCTGGTGTGTTGAATTTGTGTCTTTGTGTTGATGATATATGATCAGTAGTTTTCAGATATACAAGTGTAATCCAAATCTTTTGACTGAGTTACAGTCCTGATGTGTGGTTTGTTTAAATAAATTGTTGTTTTTTTGTTGTATAATTGTTGATCAATTCCTTATAAGTATTCAATAAATGAATTTTAGTTCTACATTTTCCCTGCAATCCCTCACTCATTTCCTCAGTGTGCCTAAATCACTGTGCCTATTTAACGTTGTTCCTATATGATCTGTTTCCA